ATACAGAAGGGCATCCCCCATCAAGAAATTCAATTTGCTCGTTTTCCATGTCGTGGGTCTTGATCCTCTAAACTCTGTCAGCATTTGAAGTAAACAGTGAAGCAATCAATGCCTCAAACATTTTACTTTAATGACTCAAAACTGTTACTTCTAGATTTTCTGTCTATTATAAATTCAATCTGAAATGTAACCTATGCTCCTGAAGCAAGGAACACTATTGGTGGAATTTTGTCATAAGACAAATAGAACCAACTATCAGAGTGTTGCAGTATCAAAAGGAAAAATTATGGGATGAAAACTTTGCCCCCATCCCCCCAAAAAAGAAAATGAGATCTGATGCTTGGTAAACCAATTGAAAAGAGCTTGAACAGAGGTAGCTGTAAAGAGTAGGTTTTTCCCTCTGGTCTGGACCCACTGCCATGCCCCAATTAACACACAGAGACTCTGTATTTGATATAACGCTGTTGGCCAGTTACTTGTTTCTTATCAGCTAGCTCTAAGTATTAACCCATTTCTATTAATCTAAGTATTTCCACGTGGTCTCATCTTACCAGAGAGTGGGGCTGGCATCTACTCTCTCCAGTCTCTACATGATGACTCCTTCCTACTACTTCCTCCAATCCTCCTTGTCTCCTAGTCCTGCCTATCTTGATTTCCTATTGGCCAACAGTGCTTTATTCATTAACCAGTATGAGAAACATATTTACAGAATGACATCTCCCATCAGATAGCCTGTTTGCATGAGAGTATAAATTGTTCCCAGAAGGATGTCGTTATTAAACGAAAATCATAGTGGCAGGGGTTGGCTATCTTCCTACAAGTTGTTGGTCATGGAGATCCCTGATCTCCTCAAAACAATACAAGGTATTAACACTGCTGTTGGTTGTCCATACAACTAGGTAGTAAGACTGTTGCTGAAGATTCCATGCACTGTGATCATGGACATAGAGAAATCAGGGTAGCACTGAACTGGAATCCTCTCTGCTGGACAGCCCCCATCATGCCGAAAGGTGGTATGCTGGCTGCTAGGTGGATTATCATCAATGGTCTTACTCAACTCTAAAATCATCACGAAATACTATGAATTGGCTAGACAAGATGTGGCAAGTCTGTTATGGGGGTAACAAACCACTTTCTGATTGGATTTGAGGCCTGCTACTTAAGAAGAAATTCAATCTGATAGTGTGAATGTCAAAAGCCCATGGCTGAAGAGAGAATAGACTACCATGTGAAAATGACTGCTGTCTATTTATTTATTTAATTATTGGCTAAATGAACATGCCTTCTAAATAATTGTATTTGCTGTCATCTTTGGGCATAGAAACTTTTTGGGGGGTAATCAATGGTAACTGAAGATGTATAAGTGAGCAAAGTGCTGAGGATAGCTGCTGAATTTTCAGTCAAAACAGCTCAGAGACTATTTGAAAAGAAAAGACAGGAGAATGTACAAAGCAGAGGGAAGGTGAATAAGGAAGAATGATGATCTCGCCGCATGACATTGCTGCTGCTGTACTCTTGAACACATGGCAAGTGTGATTACCTACACAACATGGGGCACGTCAGCATCCTGTTATGGAGGAGAAATGGGCTTAGAGTCCTCACCACCACTGAGGATTAGTAAATAGATAATGGTTGACTGATTGATGAGAGAGGGAAAGACTTTTTTTTGAATGGTATAGCAAGTGCCCATGTTCCTATAAAGGAAATTTCTTCTATGCTCTGTAAATTGGCTTAATGATAAAATCAAGGGATAATACACCAAAAAAGTCATACAAGTAGAAAGGGAGCTAGTGGGTAAGAAGAGGGGAATGAGTGAGAGGAGGGGGCCTCAAAAGAGGGCAATGAATAATGAATATGATCAAAATACATTATCTACATGTATGAAAATGTCATACTGAACTCCATTGTTATATATCATTAATATGTGCTAATAGAAAGGTTAAGGAAAACATTTCTAACTTTTCAAAAGTATGATCTCATTGAAATAATTTTAGAAATCATGTTATATTGTAGAGACCTTTTTAAAACATCTTCTTAGTATCATGCCCTCAAGAGATAAGACCATATAGGTTATTTTACCAAACTCTAAGAACAACACTGCTATTTTTAATTTTTCGAGAATTGTAAAAATAATCTCAAGGAGCTCAGGGTTGAACAATAAAGGAATGGCTGGAGTCTTTTTACAAAAACACAGTGTGATTTGACATGGCATGTGCCTGAGGAAGGTGGCATCCCTTGGGTGGGCATAGCCCTTCAGATCTAGATTAAACATGTTGAGATGAAATGTGAGGAGAGTAGATGCTGTTAACCCTGCAGGAAAGGCTGGTTTAAGCAGAGGAAACAGTGGGGGAAACAGTGCAAAGCGTGATAGCAGGACAGTGTGTGCAGAGCCCACCGTCCCAGAATCACTGTGAGCGTGGGTGAAGCGGGCTCTTCAGACACTGGTCCTGGAAGCCTAGGAACCCTCCTTTTCCAAAAAACTTACTGCTGTCCTCATTGTCTGATAAATAAAATGCCAGAGGAAAATGTTGTCTCTTTTCTATTTTCAAATCATAAATAACCCTTGTTTCCTGGAAAAGATTGTCTAGACAGAGTTATTACCCCTTGAACAAGCCACAGACCTGGTCCTTAAGAACCTTACTTGAAGATGTAAGAAATCTCCAGCCACTCTGACTTTTAGAGCCTTAGGGTGAAAACTGTCAGGCATGATCAATGGATGCCTGCTCTCCCAGGTCAGAGCCCCTAAGCCTGAGGTGGCTGCGACTATTAAACACACCAGTTCTCATTGTGATAAAACCACATCTCACACAGCCACAGGAAGGAAAATTACAGTAATCAATACAGATCAAAATGAAGCCATAAAGAGCCATAGAAAGACTAAGTGCTATATAAACTCACTCATGTGTGGAATCCAAAAATAGGATTTCAGCAAAGCTGAATGGTGATGAAGGAAGGGCTGGAGAGGATTGTTTAGTGAGTACTGAGGATAAAGGTAGCTATGACAATAGGACAATTACCAACCTTTCAAAGATTAATTTTAAAGTTTTGCATGTATGCATGCTAGTGTACTACATGCATGCGATACTCGTGAGGACAGAAGAAGGCATCAGATCCCTAGAATAGAAGTTGCAGACAGTTGTGATCCACTATGTCGGTACAGGGAAGAAAACCCAGATTCTCTGCAAGAGCAGCCAGTGCTCCTAACCACTGTGTTGTCTCTCTACCCAATAACTATCAATATTGATGATACATACGATACTGATTTTAAAATGCTAGGAAAAGGAATTTCATTATTTTCAGCATGAATGACAAATGGTTGAAGAAAATATATAAAGGATACTTTGGTGACTTAAGTCATGATACAGGTGACAACATATACATGTTTCAAAATACCACAGGGTACCCCTACGTATGTGTAATTTTATGCTTTTACATGTCAGTTAAAAACTGCTTTCAACAACAACAACAGGAATTCTGTATATCAAGCTTGTTGAAGATAACACTGTGGAATTTACCAGAAAGTAGATTAAAAATTTTGGCTTACCAGCTTACAAAAATAAGTCAGAATAAACACATGCACACATACATACATACATACATATATATATATATAGAAACATGCACACATGAACACACACAAAGGAGAATGCACTTTCCTTCTCTCCTCTCTGCCTCTCTCTCTCTTGCTCGCTCACATGCACGCACACACACACACACACACACACACACACACACACACACACACCAAAAGATGTCCCTGGAAACAGTGAACTTGTTACTTGATGTGAAAAGGGAGATCTGAAGGTATGCTTACATCAATGATCTTGAGATCAGGAGGTTACCCTGGTTTATTCACTTGGATTAAATGCAATCGCAAGGGTTTTTTGTTGTTGTTGTTTTGTTTTAACTAGACAGATGAGAAAATCAGAGTCAGTGGAGCAATAGAATAAGGTGAGTGCTGGAAAGAAGGCAACTCCTAAGTGCTGGAAAAGATAAGGAATGAGTTTTAGCCTAGACTTTCCAAAGAAAGCTTTACCTGCAAAAACCTACTTTGCATTTCCAACTTCTAGAACTTGGTGAAATATAGATTTGTACTGCTGTTTATGGCAGTTTGCTATCCCAGCAGTAAGAAACTAATACTGTTGGCAATACTTGACTTTAATCTCTTTTCTATTTTTCTTATTTACTATTTCCCACATCAAATAAAATAATGCAGTGACATTTTTAAAATAATCTTTTTTTATTTTCTCTTTTGGGATGAACACTAAAAAATTATTCATTCTTACTGTGATGCTACAGATAACTGTTTCTTTGCACTTCTAAATAAAAATAGAATGAATATATTTTCTATAGAAGGAGGGATTATTTAAGATACCTTGAGGCTGCAGATGTAGCTTGGTTGGTAGAGTGCTTATCTAGCATGCACAAAGGCCCAGGTTCAGTTTCCAGCACTGTATAAACCAGGTATACCAGCATGCTCCCATAACCTATTACTTAGGAGGTGGTAGCAGGAATGTCCAAAGTTTCAAGATCATCCTGGGCTACATAGGGAGATTGAGACCATTCTGAGCTATGTGAGACCTATCTCAAAAAAAAAACCCAGACACCATGCTGGGTATTTTGTACATAGATATCTTCCCAAATGACCCTGCCTCTAGTTCTCAGCCAAGGGCACTGATGGTCAAGAAGTTGCACTACTCATGTGAACTGTCACCAAATTGGGTCATGAGACCCAAACTTCCAGCTCCTTCCACTGAGACTATGTTGCTGCTAAAGCACACACACAAATGCCAACAGTAGACAGTCAGCCAAAATTGGGAAGAAATGGTCATTTAGGAGACAGGCTTCATGCCCTGGAAGGATAAAGATGAACAGACAATGTGACTTATTAAATCTTTTTGAAGGTGTCATCATGGACTCTCCCAGCTGCTTCTTCTCTGGGGCAAAACTCAACTGAAAGTTCATGTCACCACTCTGATTTCTTTCAAATCTCCTTATAGGGGTATTTGCATTTGGACTTTTTGCTACTGACATTTTTGTAAACGCCGGGCAAGTGGTCACTGGTCACCTAACACCATACTTCCTGACAGTATGCCAGCCAAACTATACTAGCACAGACTGCCGGGCACACCACCAGTTCATCAACAATGGCAATATCTGTACTGGGGACCTGAAAGTGATAGAACGAGCTCGGAGGTCCTTCCCCTCCAAACACGCTGCTCTGAGCATTTACTCCGCCTTATATGCCACGGTGAGTATGTGAGTCTTACTGTCTCTCCAACATTCTGTCATCCCTGTCACATAGGTTTCTGAAAGTCATATAGAATGTGTTTCTCTCACATCACATCACACTGTTGACAAAATAACCTCCTTCTTGAACCACTCCTAATCCTAACCATCCAGAAAACTTAGTTTGAAAAGAAATTTGGTAAGCCTCCACTTGTACCCTGCCAATTTACAGGTGGGAAACTAAGACCTCATGAATATCTAAGAACACACAGCCCGAGCTGTGGTCAGGCTCCCAGCACTGTCTGGGATTTTTCACACCACTGCCACAGTTTTAGTTGGTTCCATAACAGCATACATTCCCCATGTGGCTAGGTTTTCAAGTGTGTACCTCAGTGCATGGCTAACTTCACAGTGTGCATCGCAGGATTTAACATATGTGTCCTGTGATACTTGCAACATGTTTTAATTCTTTGTGAAGAGCTGAATAATTCAAGGGGAAGTTCATAGACCCCCCCCCAGACTGATAGCTGGGGAACCGCCATTAGACCGACTCAGACCCCCTGAACATGGGTCTCAGTTAGAAGCCTGAGCAGTCTAAGGGACCTCTGACAGTGTAACCAGGATGTATCCATGTTGCAGGAAAGGAATTTGGGAGCACAATCCCCATGGAGGGATAGTCCCTTAGCATAGAGGCAGGGGATAGAGCCTAGACCCTACTTCAAATGACTTGACAGATTTTGATGATCCCTCCTGGAAGGCACTCCCTGTGGAGTGGGGGGGTGGGATGGGAGGGGAATCAGGGAGCATGGGAGGGAGGAAGAGGGAACTAGGATAGATATGTAAAATAAGAAAAAATAATACATATATTATATATATAAAGAGTTGGATAATTCTAGAATTTAAGACCTCAAACTTCACTTCCCCCTTCTCCCCAGATCACACCACCTTTGACTGTCTAGAGCATTATAACCTAGAAATTTATAATTTATTTCAATTATCAATAATAATTGTTAATAGTTATTATTAATTGTCATTATAGTTAATAAATAAATAATTAATTATTTTGCTTTCATCAGAGGAAAAGAATTGGTGTTTCCTTATTTTTGTACATTTTAACTAAAGTCCATGTTGGAAATGTCATTTTTCATCTTTCTTTTATCTAACTTCCTTTGAACCCAGAACTTAGAAGCATCACACACACACACACACACACACACACACACAAGCCAATACCACAGGTCACTGGTGCATTTTACCAGCAGAAATAGCTATTGGTCAGAAGGCACTCTTAGTGAGTTCCAGTGGAGCATAGAGAAGAAAGACAGAGCTGTCTTCTGTCAAACCATCCAGATATTCTGGGATACCCTCATCTTACTCCCTCAGCCCCGTCTGCAAGGGGCAGCATCCCATTCTCTACTCAACCACTGTGGGAGGCACATTCTGCCTCTGTGCAGCTGAGTCTAGCCCTATCTTCCTGGGCCTCACTGCAAATGAGAATAATGTGCTGTTTTTGAGCGACACTGTAAATCTGCACCACTCTGCAGCTTCTCAAACTGTTGCACGAATACTCTCCTCCTTGCAGGTTGGAGCAGGAAATGCTATTGAATCTTTTACCACAGATCACCTCAGGTGTTCACGACCATCCTGCCTAGCCATCAGAAATTTCCTAGTTAATCCTTTGGGATATTCTCTGTAATGACTACAATCATTACATTTAGCCCCCCCCAGGTTAAGAACACACAAACACAGAGAATACAAACCAGTTGTTACCTTGTTAGACTTCTTTTTTTCTTTACAAAACAAAGAGGGAAAATAGAACAGGAATCCTCTGGGTCATTTAGTGTTTTTTTATAATTTTCAGAATATTGATTTGTTCTGAAACTATCTAGAGCATAATTTTCACAAAGCTATGTGCTTTTGCCCCCAATCTTTATCAGTTTCAAATCACTACTGTGTAAAATTAATTTTGATAACACCATTATACAAATAAATCGGTAACTTAAACCAGTGTGTCATCGTCAAAGGAGACTTAAACATCTGTGGCAGCAGAAAATAAAACTCAAATACTGTGTGTTCACAGAGCATGTAATGCAGGCATCATCCAAAGATTTGGATATCAACCCATTCAGCACTTAATTAGATAAACCTGGACACAACATTCCAACTGAGTAAACAGTTTCAGCTGTGTGTTAAATTAAGCTTCCAGGATTACTCTAGACTGAAGGATATGCCAATTGCCAGAACTTGATCATTCCACAGTGCAGAGAGGTACTGAAACACTACACAGCACACATAAATATCTGCAATTATTATATGTCAAATAAGAAGTGAAATGTAAGTGTCAAATAAGTGGAAACATTATTCAGCTGTTGCTTCCTAGGTTCCAGTTAATCAGTAAAGAATATCAACCAGGGGTCTGTGTACTTAATGGTCAATATTTTTTTTCTTATTATTATTTTATTTAATTTTATATAACAAAGTCCAATTAAATGAAAACAAACATTTATACACAATATTTGGGAATTTGGGCGTCGTTCTTTCCAAACTACTTCCTGCTGGTAAGGGGCGCTGTCATGGGGGATTTGAAGAAGATAAAGGTCAATATTTTTGCAGGAAAGATTCATAAAAGACATACCTAGAAAACAATATATAAACATAAAAATTCAAATTGAATATATGTATTTGCATTCAGCATTTTAAGAAACAATTCCCACAGTGTCAGAATACTACAGTATGTTACACTCTGTGTGACTTTGGTCTACCAGAGTTTTGTGTGGCACCTGATAACTAGGATAAAGAGGCTCCTTTATTCAACCAGGATTCATGCTAGTATTGAAACATCTCCATAATAATTAATTTCCCATGTAGTATTGCCAGATACATCTATGTGAATGTATTTGTGCTTAGGATATGAAATATTCTTTAGATTATAATCTTAAATGTCTGTCTTTCCTTGTGCCTTTTTAGGGTTACTGAACTCACCATATTTGATAAGATGATGAGACAAGTCTGTAATCGCTGAACCCACATGGGAGGAGGGGGCAGGTAGATTGTAGCACATTTAAAGCCAGACTGGGCTACAAAGAAGCCCATTCAAAAGGAAAAAGGAGAAATGATATGTCACTAGTGTCCTCTGCTGGTGGGTTATAGCAATTACCAAAGTGATGTAATTTGCTGGAAGCATGTTTCTTAATTTTAGACCATCAGGGTGTGATCAGAACATTATAATAACATCTGATAACAATAGCCCACATTTCAAGTGTCAGTGAGCACATCTTTTGTTTGGTACAGAGCCTTCACCCTTTCTTATATTGTGGTACACAGAAAAGTTTAGTGTTCTAAAACACTATGAAGTAGACAAATGGATAAAGCAGACCACAGTTGTCCCTGGTAAGAATCAACTTCCAGCACAGCAGTGACCCGTAGTAAGGACTGGGCCATTCAAATTAGGTCCATCGGTCGGTTGGTGAACAATTTCATGTCATGGCCCCAAAATGTGGGACAGCAAAAAATAAAATGTGACGTCTCTCATCTACCTGATATCCTCTACCACAAACTCATTCAAATAAAAGGTTTAATTGGTGCCCAAGACTTTTATATACATTTCAATGGCACCACACATTTATCTGGTTCTTTACATAAAAACCACGTGTTCTGAACCCAGCCGTCATTCTTCAGTTATTCCTTCCGTCAATATAGCTTCTGTTCACAAACTCATTACGATGCAAAAGTGATTAAGAACACATGCTCATTGACATTGCTGCACTGTTTCCTGACTGACTAACCAGCTTAATGGAGTTGTCCAAGGAGATGTGGTTGCCATGGTTCCCTTCGTCAAAGCCCCTGTTCCCGACCTGGGACATGAGTGCATTCATGTGGATACACCACCACACAAGGGCTGCCTGAAACCCACTGGCCTCTCTCTCTTTCACACCACAGATGTACATCACAAGCACAATCAAGACAAAGAGCAGTCGACTGGCCAAGCCAGTACTGTGTTTGGGGACCCTCTGCACAGCCTTCCTGACAGGCCTCAACCGGGTCTCTGAGTACCGGAACCACTGTTCAGATGTGATCGCTGGATTCATCCTGGGCACCGCAGTGGCCCTGTTCCTGGTAGGCTGGCCTCTTTCTCTACACTTCATCCCTTTTATATCCTCTGTGTACAGTCATAGTGCACTGAGTTTCCTGGAATCCAGTCTGAGTCATTGTTCCTCGGGTCCCTGTATTCTGAACTGCTATTGTCCAGATAATATGCATGCTATTTCTGCAGGAACAGAACCAGGGCACCTTAACTTTGAGAAATATGACTGGCTATGTTTCTTGAGAGTCAAAGAGAATACTATCCCCAAGAGGGCTATATTTTGTCTTTGAGCTTTCAGCTTGGTAACATAGTGTATCTCTATATAAGTGTTTGAGTATTTACAGTCAGTGTCTAGGACTCAGGAGCTACATATTTCTAGGCAATGCACAGAGAAACAAGGCCACTAGTGGATCAGGCTCTCCCCTACAGCACTGCAAAAAAAAAAAAAAAAAGAAAAAAGAAAAAAAAAAAAAATGAATGAAACTGGATCTAGACACAAGAACTGTCTTAGTATGCATGTACATGCCATCTCAGATTTATGGAAACCCTATAGTTAATCATTCACCTTTTAGAGGCCTCTTGGCATCTTATTTCAACTAAGTGTCATCTATATTTGACCCCCCCCCGAAGAATTTTGGCAAACGCAGCTGCCTCCTTATCATCACAGCTCTGATGACATTTTAGCTCTTCAAAGAGATGGCAACCAGGCTACAAACTCTTCTGGAAAATCCCTTAATCTGACTAGGACTGGAAAATAAGAATTTGTGCTTGCTTTTTATCTTGTTCTACTCCAGTTTCATTGAAGTGTGGCAGGGATATGATGATACATACTGTCCAATGTGGTGAACTTGACATCGTTCTTGCTTTTTCTTTCCCCTCCACCTCAGGCAACTATTGATGTTTAATTTGTTTTTCTACTTTGGATTTCACATAAATGAAGTCACATTATGTATTCTCTGACATTTTACTCCCACTATAATTTATATTTGGAGACACATTCATGTTGTAGAATGTAACCGTAACTCGTTTCTTTTTATTGCTCTGTAATATTACATTTCCTGGACATATCAGAGAGGTACAGTTTTGTTCTTTGGTTATTTGTTATAACAGTCGCTAGGCATATAAACTTCCCTGCATAAAATAAAGCTGTTGTCAATAACAAGACCCTACCCAAAGAGAAGAGGTCACTAAAATCTTCAAGCACCTGCCACCCATCTTACTCTGCCCTTGATAGTCCAAGCCCCTTTAAAGACTGGTATCATACATATACTCACTTTATATTCATATATTCTATGACTTAACTCTTTCTTAACTCTTTTTTTTTTCTTTCTGCTCTCAGTGCAAAAAAAAAAAAAACAAACAAACAAACAAAAAAATCCCATCCAAGCGTCTACCTCAATTGACCGGCTAGTTTGGAAAATGTTCACACTTTTCTATGGAACACTACCTGTGAAGCTATTGTCATGCAACATCCCCTCCATCAGCTTTCTTTTTATAATGGAAGAAGAGGAGGGGTTGGAGGGCAAATTCTCTGGGTAAAGTCACAGAGAAAGCACTGGAATGCTCCCATGATGCTGTTATCTCATTAGAGAGAATCACTGAGAGAGATTTTTTTTTTTTTTTTGAAAGTAAGAATTACATGTGACTTCAAGAGAATGGAGTGTTTTCCAAGGCAGCTCACTGATACATGAATAAAGACAGGCTCAGAAGAAAAGTCAAACAGTCTTGACATCAACACCACTAGAGTGCACTATCCCCAGCTAAGAAGAAATGGCCTTGTAGACTACCCATGTAGCTTCATGGAGTCTTTGAGAGATGATGTCCATGAAATGGCTGGAATGCCATGTACAAATTCTTCTTTAAGATTGGACTTGTTTTCTTGTTTGCAGTTTCTTGCTTGCCCCTTGGTTACTGTTTTTTCTGTTATTTCTTCCAGTGGTTTAACAGTTATTGCTATAGGTGTCTGTTTCCCATGAGGAATAACACAGGGGAAGAGGAAGGAAAATGTTGGTTGAGCAATTACTGCATGTCCAATTACCTCACATTCCAAGTTCCTAGGGCACCCCTAGCAGTATTTTCTCTTCATTTTGTTGTTCAGGAAGTTGAGCCTCAAAATATATAAGGCTCTGATACCTTTGCCTTCTACCATTTCCTAAGTAGCCAAAGTTTTAGTCATAGCTATAGTGTGAGGTAGAGGAGAGACAGATAAAAATGTTTGTTTAAATGCTCCTTGTGGTTTTAAAAATTACAGACTTAACACTAGACATATAAACAGATGCAGAATAGCAAGAGAAACTATGGAAAGATTAAGACAAATTCAACACAGGCAGAGAAGATGGTAAAAACTTATGACACAGATAGGAAATAAATAAAGTAGACAAGCATTTATAAGCAAAGTTTTCTAGATAGATGGATAGATAGACATACAGACAGACAGATATTATTAGTCAGTTGTTTAAGTCAAGGTAAATAATAATGACATAATTTGGCTATGATCATTTTAGGCACAAGTTAAACATCAGCCAATATGAGCTGAGTACTTGCTGTGTTTGATACTCAAGAGACAAAATAGTATAGTGATGACATTTTGAGCAATTTAAACTTTACCTGTAGCACCTAGTAGCACCTCATTTCTTACTATTGAGAATTGTTGGCTGAGGAATTAACAAAAATGAGACACAACCTCCAGGACCCAGCAACCCTCAGGACATGTTTGCTTTGATTATGAGGTGACTTACATTTGTCATACTGTCACAAATCTATATGGTAAGTATACCCATTCCCATTTGACAGCTGAAGAGATGAGCTCTGTGGGGTCAACTGGCTGGGATTTGCCTTACCATTACATACAGTATGCTCAGCACACACTTTAGGCCTCCCTCATTCTTGGTCTCCATAATTCCAAGAAAATATACTACCTCCATGATGATATTCAAGGACAGCAATGTGCCACACTCAAATAACCAGGCATAGCCTGCTGGAATCTTACCCCTCTCTCTGTTCCCTCCATATCCTATATGTGGAGGTTCATAACTTCCTACTGGTGTCTGAGCCCAATTTCTGTTCCTCCCCATCCTGCAGGGAATGTGTGTGGTTCATAACTTTAAAGGAACGCAAGGATCTCCTTCCAAACCCAAACCCGAGGATCCCCGTGGAGTTCCCTTGATGGCTTTCCCAAGGATAGAAAGCCCTCTGGAAACCCTCAGTGCACAGGTATAGTAAAGAAACGTTAGCAAGCAAACCCATGATCTTGGCAGGTTGTTTAATCCTGAGAAAGTGCTTACTGTTGTGCAGATTGAACCCAAGCAGATTTAGTGTACTTTGGCCTCTAATGTAAAGTCAACATTCATGAAACTTGAAATATTCATATGAGAATCCAGTTTGACTAACAACTGAATTGTTTCTTGTGCAATTCCATTTTCCTTTGGGATGGGATGGGTTGGAGGAGGAGAGTATCCAAACTTCCAGGGGATATGAAAGCTCAAGGTTCACAAGTTCCTAATGTAGTATGGCATACTGTTTGCATGGAAATTGCACAGAAATTCATATATGCATTTATCTCCACTTCACTTGCAATGCCCACAACAACGGAAACACTGAGTAAACAGCTGTTAAACTGGACTGGTGAGGGAATACTGACATGGAAGCAATGTAGTATACATTCTTACAGAGGACCAGAGTGCTGCTCCTGGAACCCTGGGCTGGTTATAGGATTATGAGCTGGAAATATAGTGCAGTAGCTGTCTACTTGCTCCGTTACCCTCAAATCTGCAGCTCCAAACAACCCCATGCCCTCTTCTGACCTCCTGATACACACACACACACACACACACACACACACACACACACACACGTACATACATAAAATAAATCTTTTTTAAAATGTACAACTGATCTCCCAAGACTATGTCTCTAGTGGCCTAACACAAAGATCCAAGCACCCTCTAATAATGAGATGAAAACCACAATTTCCTTAAGTATTTACCAATCTCGTGGGCCTGTAGCTTAGAATTTTAAGTTTAAGCAAAGGACAAAACTTTGGAAACCACATTAGCAAGTTTAGTAAATGAAATGTGACAGAATTACAAGGAAAAAATACATACATCTGAAGTAGTATACCACATTTCAGGAACAAGCAAGCAACAGAATACAATAAGGAAACAGATGTCCAATAACATTTATTTATATTATACATAAAATTTTCTCCAAATCACATAAAATATTTTTATACAAACATATACAATGATCATGTACAAGATCAGGAAACATGTCTTAAGAAATTTTAGGGTCAGTGAGATGACTTAGGAGGCAAAGGTACTTGCCCCAAACCTGGTGAACTGAGTTCCTGAGATTCACATTGTGGAAGCAGAAAACTATCTCCTACAACCTGTACTCTGACTTCCCCATGTGAGTGGTCACACATCTGTACACACAGATACATACATATAAATAAAATTTAATTAAAAATATGGAAAAGTATATTTTAATGGCTCTTCATCGTGTAGATTGCATTACCTATAGGTTAACTAAAGTCAAATGAAAACCCCTCTATCCACTGGAAAATATTAATTTTAACTCATAACTCAAAAGAATAGGTCCTATTGGCAAGTTCAGTTGGTATTCAGTATTTGAAACATTTCAAAGGTATGAAATATAACTGTCACTTTGAATTCTTTAAATAATTACATTAAAACAGTAAAAAAGTGTTTACATGAAGAAATGATTTTACTTTGGTTGGAAATAATGAAGGAAAGAAGTAACAGAAGTTGAGGGGTCTTGGAAGAATACATTAAGGGGCAGTAATTGGTGTTTTTTGTTTAGGGGGCTGCCATTATTTGTTTGACAAACAACACGAAATTGGGTAGGTGGGGGGGAGGATCTGGGAGGAATTGGGGAGAAGGGAAAATATGATCAAAATGCATTGTATAAAAAGTTTAAAATATTAAAAATAAAAAAAATAAAAAGACTGGTGAGCTTTAGCCTTAAAGACATTTCAGGAATGATAAGAGTGTGTGGAAGTCAGTCAGCCCAGCCCTGAGTGTCTATCTGTTGCTTCCTCTACAGAATCACTCTGCCTCCATGACTGAAGTCACCTGAGAGGAATGAAGAGATGCAGCTGTAACTGGTTTCTTTTTTTTTTTTTTTTCAACAACCTTCCAATTCAATGCTTCAAAACACACAGTGACTCAAGTCAAACTGTGAAGACAAGTATTACATTTATCTAGTTAGAGGTTAGAGGCTAATGTTTTGTAAATTTTTTGTATTAAAAAGGTGGTGTAGCTTGCCCTGACCTTTTTTTTTTTTTTGTCAGTTTTAATATATTTATGCAAGAATTTTAAAACCAACAAAATTTTCCTCTTGTTTAAGTGTGCATTGAAGAATCACATTTATTAAATGGTTGATGTTGTTTTGTGATATTTGTACACAAATCTTTTCTCAGTTTTATAGACACAAATAAAGTCAATGATCCACTTTAAACCTTTATTACCACGGTTGCTGCCTCCTCCAAAAGCTTTGAATTTCAATGAGATTTAAACTTTTTAGTTACAGAAAGGAACATGGTGGTTAATTATAAATTTCACAATCAATCTTGGGGAAAATATTTGGAAGGAACATCATGTTCTGTTCTATTAATAATTTATTGCATTCCAAGTAAAAGTGACAGTGGTGTACTAGTGATTTCTAGTTTCCTAAATATTGACACAGAAGTCAATATTGTGGGGGTGGGGTTATATGACTCTTTCTTAAATAATGGCCTTGCCCACCTAAGGAACTCAAGGTGGATCTGGAATTCTGCCCTTAGGCAGGCAGGTGATACTGTAGCCTTCCATCCAAAAGACCAGCCTTTCCTGCCAACTAAACAGTTTTGTATTCATATTGTATGAACTTTTTATGAAAAAGAATATTTTACAGTTTGCACAGTATTATTTTACAGAAGGATATCAGAGCACCTACAATATAGAGCCCAGACTAACAGCTTCACTTGGGGGCTTCTAACTGTTCTTGGATTTTAAACGCATCCTGTTTTCTAGCATGGTGATAATGTGTTCCTCCTTTGAGAGAAGGAGTTCCCTTTCTGTATCTATCAAGATGTTTTCTTGACACATCCATGTCAGCGCTTATTAGTTTGTTTATTTTTTTTCTAAATGGAAGAAAGAAAAGTTATCACAAAATATATTCTGACTCATGTCCTCTGTTTGACATTTCACTTGGTTGTATGTGAAGAACCACAGAGTGGCCCAAAAGTGTTTGTGTTTTTAATTCATGTGAGCTGAGGCTAAATGCATTGAACTAGGAGCATGACTGGAAGGTCATTCAGAGATAGAAAAAAGGGAAGTAGGGACAGAGAGTGAATGAGAATGGATACCCCTGTGTGTGCATGTGTACATGTTTAGATAAAATGAAAGGATTCCTTAATTTATTAAGATACTCAAATGTACTTTCTGAATTCCTAATGTGATACCTTAGTCTTCAGCTTGCTCTGGAACTTCTGAGTTTTCAATAAACACTTAATCTTCTTTTAAAAACAAAAGTCACCTCTGCTAAAACTTTCCTTGGCCCTGTCCCCTCTACTGTTTACCTAAATTCTCTTACATACATTCAGATACATCTTCTAAGAAGTGCCTGACTAAAGTTGGAGAAAAGAGCAAGTAGTTAATCTCTATTCATCCCTAATGTTAAACTACCTGCCCCCATATGGCCTATATGTATAATGCAATCTGTTGTTTTCCATGCAAGGAACCCAGAGAAGATATATAAAGCTAAAACACTGTGATGATATATATCAGTCCCAAAATTGTGGCTCAGCTTTGTCTAGTTCTTATTTCTATTCTTCCTGTTACATGACGGTGCCTCTGAACCAAGTTAAGCCCTTTTTTGTGTGATATGTCTACTCAGATGGCTCATGAATGCTGCAGAGGAATGGAAATCTGGACAAACTCTGAGCTCTCTCCTCTCCTATACACCAAAGGTAATGTCATCCAGTATCAGAATGACTCCTCTTATTTACCTAAACACACAGGGTTTATTAAGAAAAGAAATAAAGTGTTCTATAAGCCAAGCAATGGTGGTGCACACCTTTAATCCCAGCACTGGGGACACAGAGGCAGGCAAATCTCTGTGTGTTCCAGACCAGCATGGTCTACAGAGCAAGTTCCAGGACAGGTTCCAAAGCTACACAGAGAAACCCTGTCTTGAAAAAACAAACCAAAAAAATGGTGGCAGACAAAATTGATTATGTATTATCCATTTCATGTCACACTAAAAGGCTATTGGCCTGTTTGTTCACCCAACTGTATTTTTTTGGGGGAAAAAATCAGTTCAACACAGTGGCTAACACTATGTTTGCATGCTTCTTTTCGGTTTGATTCTGGGAAGATTACCTGTTATTTCAAAATCTGTGTCTACAGACTTTGGTTTCACAGTGCAGGGCTCCTGATTTAGTCTAACCCTTTTGCATGATTCCAAGACTTTAGTAGTGTCTCTACTTACACTTCAGCTACTTTAGCTGCTTCACAATAATTGTTATCCTCCACATAGAATGTGAGATTCAGTTCTCAGGTTTGGACTTCTTTACATGTGTCTACTGCCAAGGACAAAGTTCTCTGTCAATACAGGACATGTAGTGACTATAGGCTAAGAGAAACATGGACTCTGTGATGAATTTTTCTTCATCATTTTATGGATGTCAAAAATGCCTGAGAAAGTTGGGTTCACTGTAAAAGAGGACTGAAAACAAGACTAATAAAAAAGTGTTTTGATGTACAACAATGAAGTTCTTAACCTTATAGACATTCACACTTGGATGGCATGCCCATTACAAGACTTGTCACAGAGAACATTTTGTTAAAGTTTACCCAACAAATAGATGCCAGACTTCTCCCCAACTTGGTTGAAAAGAGACTGTGGCTCATTTCAAAATAGAGGACCTTAATAGTGCTTTAGTGATGTTGTTAGATACACAATAAATAATGGCCAAGAATCTGCTCTAAGCAGTTATCATGTGTGAATGTCCCATTGGTAAGCTCTAATCTTTTCATTAGGCTGTGGTGGTAGCTTGGTGGTAGCTCCAGTATTTAGAGAACACAAATTCCCCATAATCTGGACTTGAAAGAAAGGGGGTGCTATTGGAATGAATTGACTTCGTTCCCAATAACTACCAACTGCAACAAGTGATATCTTAAAGGCAGACATATAATATACCCAGTTCTCCAAGTATATTTAAAGGACTGGGTGCCACTAATGCTTCAATAGTAAGGATGTTCAAAAGATTTAAAAAAAACATTAAAGTTATATTACTAAAGTTGGCCTTACTCCTTTGCATGATATTTCCTGAGAATCTAGAAGATAAAACTAAATATTTATTTACAATCAATGCATCCTAACTTGTCCCCCAGCCCTAGAAACCTTGGGCTTTATCTCACCATCTGAAATACCACTCAGCATATATGGGAAAAAACCCCATGAGCTCACTTATGGAAAAAAAGTTCTTAATAGGCCCTTGAGAAGTAACTTCAAAAGCCACCAATGCTAAGCATATACAGCTACTGTACAGACAATGCAACTCTCTTTGGGAAGTCCACACCCATAATCTTAAATATGTCTTACTTTCTTACAAGGTGCCTCTCTTTCTATTAACCTGTTCTAAAATTGGTTTAAAATGTCTTCAAAAAGCTGATGAGATGGAACAGTAGACAAGGAGGCTTGCTGTAAATCCAGATGATCTGAGTTCAGTTCTGGGAACTCACATGGGAAAAGGAGAGAACTGATTGCCAAGGGGATACCTCCATACATATCTATCTTCTTGTAAACACACACACACACACACACACACACACACACACACACACACACACAATATATTTTTAAAGGTTTATAATACCCCTCAGCTCTGCTTCATATTGGCTCACCCTAAAATACTTTCTTGTGGCAAAGCCAGTCATCTGGTTTCACTTGAGTGGAGTTCCTTAAAAGATAAAGGAGGTTCTCAGTGTACTTCCTGTGATCTGGTCAGTGAATGGATTTGTTAGAGAATTAGACCATGAGAATCAAAAAGCAAAGCTTTACTCAAGATCTCTAGGACACTGCCAGGGTGTCCCCAAGACAAAGGAAATCAGCTCTGCCAAAAGGAGTCTTGAGTTTTTATAGGATGCTTTTAGTCAGTGGGAGAGACTTGAGGAGGAAAAGGTAAGTTTAACAGTCAAAGGGGACTGCAGTGAGAAACATTTTATGGGTGGGTGGGCCACTCTGGCCATTAGCATATCAGGAGGCTGTGGTCAAGCTTTTCTGCTGAAACCAGGGGTCAGCAGACTTATGAGAGCAGTAGAACAATCAGTCTCTGTTTTCCTGAAGGGTCTGGGTCCCCCATCTTGATAAATTGGTGGCTCCATCTCGGGCCAAAGATCTGGGCCAGCTCAATAGTCACCATGCTGACAATATTATTATTGCCCTAGTGACTTCAATATGTGCACAAAACTATTCTGCCACACATACTGTCCCTCCTTATACTCCATGTCTATTCTATAATGAATACAAAACATTTACTGACATCCTACTTCTTGACCCAGGCTGTTCCAACTTTGATCTGTACCTTCAGATATATTTAGTGAACATCTATTATGTACTCAGAATTGTGCTAATGACTAGGGATATACAACAAAATAAGTAGAGCAGCTGTTTTCTTTCATGGGACTGTGTCAACAAGAGAAAAAGGAAGACAAGTGTGTTGCTGGTCGTTTCTGTCCTGCCAGATCCTATGGACCTTCAGTCACAAATAAACACATGGATGCTATATTAATTATAAAACTGTTCACTGAATGGCTAGGGATTCTTACTGGTTAGCTCTGTCTTCATTATTAACCCATTTCTATTCATCTACATATTCCCATGTGGCGGTATCTTACCAAAGAATGACTGGCTTTTCCTATCCTCCTGGTCCCTCCATGGCATCCTTTCTAGTGTCTCTCTGATTATCTTTCCCAGAATTCTCCTCATCTCCTAGTCCCACCTATCTTCCTGCCTCTACTGGCTATTAGCCAAACAGTGTTTTATTCATCAACCAATAAAAGAAACATGTATACAGAAGGACATTCCCCATCACACATGTAAAAAGGGTGCTGGGGATGGTCTAGGGCATTTCCAGCTTGTTTCCTTGGACAAAGAACTGAACTTCAAGAAATAGAAGACCAAGATTTATGAGAAATGCAGAAGCAACTACTTTGTTCCTTCAGGATCGAAGAGGCCCTACAACTGGGAGTCCAATAAAAAAAGATGTAGACTTGAACATTTATATGGCCCCTTGGTTCTCCTCTTTTCTCTGTTGGTCCAGTTTGGATACCCACCCATGTGCCTTCTTGCCACTTTTTTTTCCAAGATCTTCTGGGAACAAGAATTTGTCACCCGTGTCCCTCTAATTTTTCTCCAACAACCCAGAGCCTTTAATATAAAGTGATTTCAAGGGATACTTAATTCAGAAGAAGAAAATA